GAGCACTCCTGACATATGGTTGTCAAGCCTCTGCTTAAAGACCTCCAAAGAAGGAGACTCCACCACACTCCTTGGCAGCAAATTCCACTCATATTTTTCTCATGCTCTCCAATGTGTGTTTACTTGGAAGTGTTTGACTGGGCTTACTCCCCCTAATGGGCACAGGATTGTAGTCTTAGTCTGATCACAACCCAAGAAGAGGCAGCACCGTTTTGATTAAAGATGTGCCATATGCTTTAGAAACCCCACTGAAATGTTTTGTTTGAGAATTTTCGTGACTCTCTAAGGAAGGTCAGACTGAAAAATGCTCAGGTGGTAGCAAAAGGCTTTTCTGAAAGGTGCTGGTTAAGCTTTGGTGAATCTGATGGGGAAGACTAGAGCTGCCTCCAAGCTGGGGGTGCGGACAAAGTGTCCTTAGCGTGGTGCCCTCGCATGTCCTTACTAGGCACAAAATCAGGTAAGTGCTACAAAGAACAGGGACCTGCAAGGGAGGAGGCTGGTGCTTTAATTCCCAGTGTAGTGTTGCTCAGTCTGGGGCACTGGGGAATTGTTAAGACGATGGCTCATTGAGCCACTCACTGCAGCAGCCTCACAGTCCCTGCAGCAATGAGTGGGTGGCAACAGAGAAAAATTATGAAAATGGTCCACTCACCCAAGTGCACTGAACAGGCTGGCTGGGCCCCTTGCAGAATTTTCTTTTCCCTTGCTGCTCAGCACCAAGAAGTCAACTGGGCAGCTGCAACGAAAGAGGGTGGGAGAGAACTTTTGCTTTAATCCCTCCCTAATTACTCATCAGAGCAAGGCTGCATCAGGGACATTGGGGAGGGATTAAAAACAAAAATGACAGCTCGCTCCTTTGCCACAGCTGCTCTTGGTGTTGGGTGGGAAGGGGCTATGCTGCTGCTTGTGTTTTTTAAAGGGGCACAACCAGTCCAGTACACGGGCAATGGTGATCAGACTTGCTGGGGTCTCAGTCCCCTGGCGTTTGCCTGGAGATGCCATGTGCTGACATCGGACCTGGGAAAGACAATTGTGATCAGTACTCAAGCAGTCTTGCAGGTTCATAGGCTCCAGAGCCATGATTTCTATACATGTGGACCTAGCAAGTCAGCCTTAGAACCTGATAGTGCAGAAAGGCTGGATGGTGCTGTGGTTAGGAATGTTGAACTGGGGCCCATATCCAAATCCCCACCTAAGTATGAAGCTCGTACAAGGCCATAGGGGTCTTTCTACACCAGGGATGGGAAACCTGTGTCCTTCTCCCCATGTGCCTTTGGATTTCTGACTGCCGTTAGCCAGTCTGGCCAATAACCAGGGATGATGATAGTTGGGAGTCCAACATGGGTCAAAGATTTCCCACTTTGTTCTACAGAGATGCATTCATTTACAATGCATGTGTTTGGGGTTTTTTGACCCTCCTGGACAAATGGCAGCAAGGCTGCTTTGTAAAGTGATGGGTTGCAGGGTAATGCAAAAATGAGTGATTAAGAATGCAGGGTAAAACAGTAATCAAACTATACTCATTTGCCCATCAGATTTAAAACGAAATAGGCTGGGTATATAAATTCTTCCATCTCTGGAACAGAGCTCTCCACTTTCCAAGATGTATTTTAAGACGACGAAAAATTGCATTAAAAAAACAAAACCCCTTTGGACTGCCTGCCAGTGGGTGATTAAATGCATAGATGTCAGATCCTCTTGCATGAGCAGAGACGAAAGAGATCATGGAGGGAAATCATAGTATAAGCTGTGGGTCAGTTATTATGCATTGGGAAGGCAAGGCAAGTCAAATTCATGCAGAAAGCCCGAAGCATCAGCGGGGCCTCGTTGTATGGGAAATACGCCTTTGCCGTGCCTTGGGAAATAAATTGGGCTGGCTTCCAAATCTTTAGCATTGCGGTGCAATGATATGAAATAAGCACACTCTTTATATAGGGGACAGGATGCTGACCTAGTTTGATGCTGAAAGCAGCTAAGCAGAGGAAGAAGAGAGTGCCTCCTTCCCTAGGAGCAGGAGCTGCCCTTGCACCCAGTGCCAGTGGCTCTCTGAAACCCAGAATGATAACATTACAGGCTTGAAAGAGAACCAGAAATTATAGATCGGGTCACCGGAGTCACTCGCCTCTTACCAAATGGGTTAGCAGCTGCCACTTTGGCGTTTCGGTGCCTGCCAAGAGGCTTCCTGGAACAAGACATGTTTCGACACGTGAGCCATAGAAGTGAACCAAACCGAGCACCATCACTTTTGGGATTAATAATTGCGTCCCTGCTCCCCCACTGCCTGAGGCTGCATGTTGTGCAGTCAGATGAGAAATTACATGGAGATGGCAGATGACTTCCTATTAGACATTAAGTCTGATAAGAAAATGTGCAATCGCTGTCATTGAAATGGACTCCCTCAACAGGGCTTTACTCTCTTTGTCACTCTCGCTGGTTTGCCTCTCTCTTTCTCCTCTTTAACCATTTCTTCTCGCTTGATCCATTAAAACAATATTGCCGAAATGCCATTCAGGCAACCATCAAACTAATAGCCACATGAGTCGCATGCCGGTCTTTTCATCTACCCGAGAGCCGCAAAACACACACCAGTCTTATGCTTACACCACATTGTAATGCATTTGTTTACTTAGAAGGTGCTAGAAGATGCCATGTTGCTATGAAATGCCCATCAGCTTACCTTGGGTGCCTTTCCTTTCAAACTGTCCCTTATTACTCATACATATACCTTACCGGCACTCTCTTGTTTTTCCTCTTCTTACCTCAACAACTTGTTTCAGAAGCAAAACTTCAAACTAGAAATAGTTTCTGATATTAATTGTTTTCCTGTTGATTAAATTTAGGTTTTCTTGTAGTGTGTGCCCTTGTGAATGTAGTCAAATAAGCTGCAGGGTAGAACTGCTTTAAACAATTTGAAAAACAAACAGAAAGTGAAGATTCTTCAGGATAAACTGTGGACTTCTGGAAGGCCTGTACTATAGGCCATCCTCACAAATCATTCTTTCCCTTACAAGCAACCATAAGCCTGCCCTCAAGATTGGACATGGATTCACATCTCCACTCTCCGGCCCTCAGGGACATAATCTAGACAGCATGAGACCCTAACTCTCCACCTCACTGCACCAGTTGAGCCGCATGAGGAAGTGGGGCTTTCCATTATGTGGCTGAGGTGGTCTTGGAGTAGCAGCCCCCCATTAACCTTCTCAAGGGTTGTGTTTCAGTCTCTCCTAATATTGCCAGTAGTCTGTACCTTCTAGTCCACATCTTTGGGCCTCGTTGACCATACTAGGCCAACTCTTCTGCCTCCATGTAGTTGTGGGATCAGGTTCCTACCTTCAGATTTCATTTTGCAAGGGCAGTTTGGTAGGAAAGAGATGAGAACAAACCTCATGGTTATGTCCCCTTGAGGATTCCTCATTATCTGAGCTGACTGGAATAATAAGGAAACCAGTAAATAGCTGTTTTATGGTATTCTGCAAGTGATATGTTACCATATCAATGAAATAAATATGATTTAATGTTTCTTTTACATGAGAGGATTTTTTTGTAAAAAAGAAGAAAAGCTTTTATCCTAATCTCTGTGAGCATATTATGCAAGAAATCCTAAAGGCTGGTCATATGAAATAGAGGTGTTTTTTATATAAAAAATTCAAAATACAAGTGAGGGAAAGTTAGTATTCCTAGTATTTTATGAATGAGCCGATGACCCAAATATTTTGGTTTTTTTGCACTGGCAGAATGGTTACACACCACTTCACATAGCTTCCAAGAAGAACCAGATGGATATAGCAACCACGTTACTGGAATATGGTGCCGATGCGAATGCTGTGACCAGGCAGGGCATTGCTCCTGTGCATCTTGCCTCCCAGGAGGGCCACGTGGACATGGTGTCATTGCTTCTCACCAGAAATGCTAATGTGAATCTTAGCAACAAGGTATGTTTTCTTCTTTGTGTGCTCTAGTTTCCCAGACTAGGGTCTCCAGCTCTTTTTGGACTTACGATTCCCATCAGCCCTTGCTAGCAGGACCAGTGGTCAGGGATGATGGGAATTTAGTCTAAAAGCAGCTGGTTGGGGAAACACTGCTGGATGGGGGGAATGCAGGAGATGTTGTCAGATTCCCAAGTTCCCTTTGGTCCCAGCCAGCATAGCCAATGGTTATTATGGGTGATGAGAGCTCCAATCTGGTGACATCTGAGGAGGACATGGATGACTTACAAATATGGAGTGTATGTGACAGGAAACCTCTATTAAATATGATTGTGTGGGGCAAATGGCAACTCACTACTCCTTAGGCAGCTCTATATACCACCTTTATAGGTGCCTCCTCTTTAAAGAAATCAGGAAGCAATACAGGAACCCTTGGCACAGAGCTTTCCCCTATTCTGCTATCACTCCTGTGGATCAACTTGGTTTCTGATTGTGGTGCAAGTCCAGAAAATGAAGCCCAAAAGTGCAGTTGGCGTATTTCATTTGCACAAGAAGAGAATTATCTGCAAATTGTCCCCACTTTGTTCCCTTGCTTACTTGCCTGTCCATGCAAGCACTGGCTTTGACTTCCTGGTGGCTTGTAAGCAGTATGCGCAAGTGCTGTCTCTGCTGCAGTGTGTTTTAAAGCATTCTGTTTGTGCACCTGCAGAACAGTGCTCAGTTCAACCACCCAGGCAGCGCACTGAATAGAGAAATCATTTTGAAAATGCTTAGCCAGACCCTGAATGACTTTGAAAATCTATTTGTGTTTCTTCTCTCTGTACTTCTCCCAGTGGCGTTTTAAATACATGGTGTGAATCTAACCTCAATTTTCCTGTTGTCTATCCAGAAGATATTGTCTATTGGGCAGTATACATTCTGACAACTTTTGAAGAGGGGAAACCCCCTTTTGCTAGGGTTTGTGATTGGAGAGGGATGATGTTGTATGGTACCACCCAAAAAAGTATATCACTGTGTTTGGCATCAATACTATCTCAAGTATTTATTTATTGGCAATATTTATGTATTCCTTTATACAGTACTTAATGCAAAAACAGACTTTTACAAACTTTGAACTATAACCATCTATAATTAAAATGCACAATAAAACAATCCAATTAAAACTTTTAAAAAAAAACCATCCATAATTCAATTATGCAATAAAATAGCACGACATTTAAAACAGGAAGCTCAGGTTGAGTGATCAAAGGAATGCCTGTGTAAACAGGTGCAACTTCAAAAGCCAGCATAATGTATATTGCCCAGTTGACAATACCCACTGGATACTTAACAATAAAAGCTGAAACCCATAAAAAAAAAATCTACAAGAGCTCTGAAAATTTAACAGATCAAGGTCAATCACAGTACAAAACTGAATGAATAAAACGAGCAACAGCAAAACTTAAATTGGCACAGGAGAGCTAAAAACACTGGAGATCTTAAAATGATCTCAGAATGCCTGGGAAAGTGAAAATTAATTCACCTGGCACGTCTTCCTGGCTACCGTTGGCTTCGGATGTTGCAAAGGAGCATGTGCTGGGTCCAGTGGGCACGGGGACGCCCGGCCAGGTTCTTGTTTTTCATTTTATTTCCCGCAGTTTTTGGCACTCTGCAGAAATGCAGGAACCGTTAAAGGGCTGGGGCTCTTGCCAAGCGATCTAGGTGAGACAGGTACAGGAGCCATGAGAGAACAAAACATTGGCAATGAAAGTAGACAGAAAGGTGTCAGCCCATATTCAACCTCTGCATGTCCAGCTGGCCCTGCCTACCTACCCCAACTTCCCCTGAACCTTCTAGTGGGGTTTCTTTCCTTCTTCCAGCCACCTCCCACTAGTAACTGCCTCTTCCCCCTCAGCCACCCTGTCCATTTGTGGCATCACAGGAAGTTTGTAGCCCACGGCAACTGCTTAGGGATGCATCTGCACAGCCTCCCATCCTGGTACTGGAAAGGGGAATGTCATCAACGTTACTTAGATGTATTTAGAAATACCTTGATTTAGAAGTAGAAGATGGCTTGCTTAAGCTCTGCTGTCCCCTTCATTGCTGCTTTCGGGGAAAGCCTCGTCAGCCTGTGACATCCATGAAAGGCAAACACAGATACGGTGAGGGGAATGGCCCTCATTCAACAGTTATCATCCAGCCACCTCCACTGGCCAGCCTGCCAACCTCCGCTGGCTTCCACCCATGAACCAGTGGTTCATTCGCCCAGAGCCTGGAGGGCAGCCTACACCGCTATCTGAACATGCAATTCCCAGGCATACCATGTCTGGTGGGTGACCTATGTCCACACTCACCATTCATACTTACCCCAGCATCAACCCACAAATATCCACACAGCTTTTGTCAATGGCCTTCTGAAGGTGAATTTCAACCAGCTTATGCGCACTAACTTCAGCCTCCTTCAGCTCTGCGGCATCCCGGGCTTCCACATGCTAATCACAGCTTCTGCCAGGTCCATCGCCAGCTTCCAACCATGGATATCTGCCACTTTCAAGCTTCGGTCCTGCTCAGCAGGTATACTTGCCTTCTCATTGCTCCACAGCATCTCATTGATGGATGATGGCCTCCTTCCATTTGCCACTTCGCCTCCATGCGGAAGGAGACCACCAAGTACTGAATAACACAGCTGTTGTCCACCATGTCCTCTTCAAGCTTTTGCCTTGGGCTTTCCCCTAGGGCTGCTTTTGTATATCCACTGAGCTTCCATGTGCTTATGTGACATCACAGGATGTCCACAGCCAATAACAGCAGCTGGAGAGGCATCATCATCATCACCTCCTCAGGCCTCACAATGGTGGGTGCGGCTCAGCAGCCATTTCCCCTTTGCTTGTTTGCTATGTACAGCTCACTCCTTATCTGTAATGACACCAGAGAAAGGCATGCCATAAATCCACCTTCCCATTTTGCTTCTCCGGTGCCCTATCTGCATAACCTAGCAATCCCAAAATATAGATGTGCTTTTACTCTCGCAAGGTTGAATCTACTGCCCTCGGCTGTACTTGAGGGACGATTCCAACAGATTCCACACGAAAAACGCTTATGTCCCTGCAGAGATAGCAGCACCGAATTGGTGGCGCATGCCCTTCTGGCTTGCACTCTTTATAAAGACTTGAGGAATGAGATTATCACCCCTCTTTTATTGTCCATTCCGGGTCGCCCAACCACTGCCACAGTGTCCTTTCTCTTGGCAGATCAAGATGAGCAGGTGACAGCAAAGGCTGCAGGGCTTTTAGCTGGGGCAATCAGAATAAGATCCACTATTTGACTGTGTTTTATGTAATCTGTGTTTTATATAATCAACTTTTTATTTCTGTTCCATGTATATTGCAATGTTCTTTTGTTGCTATGGCCTATGGCTGACGCAAATAAAGTTTGGTTTCATTTACCTGGCACCGAAAAGGCCATAGGTGTACTTCTTGGGGAGGAGGTACAAACAGGAACAGCGTCAGAGCTTGCTAGACCAGCACTGTCTTTCTTCACTGCCTATTCATGCAATGCTTCAGCCTTAATGTGTTCCCTGTTCCATTATTATTCCAACTAGGTAGCATTCTTGGTCAGATTCTTGGAGCGTTTCCACACAGAAGTTTGTCATGTGCTCATATATTGCTAACTACACATTGAAGTTTTCCACTGCATCCATCCTCATACAAACACCTTTCCCATATTATTTTCCTATTTAATCTGGATTTATGGTTTCCATTAAAAATCCAGTGAGTTAAAAAAAAAAGTGTGCAGAAAAGGTAAATCCAAATTAAATTTGGGTGGGGGGAATTGTGCAATTTCAATGCCAACAGTGATATGTGGATACTGTGCAAAATGAGCAGCAGCAAGTTCACAATGAAACCGCCTTGTGGAGATTGCCTGCTATTTGATAAAGCTACTTGAGTATATTACGTTGCCATGAATATTCATCAAGTTTTGGTGGCCTGTGTGTTTATTTCACATTTGTTGGAAAGTTTGCCCTGACTTAATTAAAAGCAAAGAGGAAAGGGTGGGTGTTGTGACACAACTTTTGAAATATCAGGCTGTGTGCATGTATTATGTTTCTATAGATGTTTGTATATGTTTGTGTTTGCGTAAAAAGCTTAGGCTGAGCACATTTCAAATCAACATGTCAAAACTCGGGGAAGGGAAGGCCTTGCTTTCGCCTGTGGTGTAGTGGTTAAGAGCGGTAGACTTGTAATCTGGTGAAACGGGTTTGATTCCCTGCTCCTCCACATGCAGCTGCTGGGTGACCTTGGGCTAGTCACACTTCTCTTAAGTCTCTCAGCCTCACTCACCTCACAGAGTGTTTGTTGTGGGGGAGGAAGGGAAAGGAGAATGTTAGCCGCTTTGAGACTCCTTAGGGTAGTGATAAAGCGGGATATCAAATCCAAATTCTTCTTCTTAATTTCTAACCAGCTTGAATTGGCAGCAAGTCTAATTCAGAAATCCCTGTGGCGGGGTGCGCTCCCGTTGCTCGGTCCCAGCACCTGCCAACCTAGCAGTTTGAAAGCACCTCCGAGTGCAAGTAGATAAATAGGGACCGCTTACTAGCGGGAAGGTAAACGGCGTTTCCGTGTGCTGCTCTGGCTTGCCAGAGCAGCGATGTCACGCTGGCCATGTGACCCGGAAGTGTCTCTGGACAGCGCTGGCCCCCGGCCTCTTGAGTGAGATGGGCGCACAACCCTAGAGTCTGTCAAGACTGGTCCGTACGGGCAGGGGTACCTTTACCTTTACCTTTTACCTAATTCAGAAAACCATGTTAAGGTGTGAGCTGCCTAGACGCTGTTCAGTTTAACAGGGAGGGACTTGGGTCTATGAGAAAAGAGCTTTGTCAACAAATTTACTGCTTAAGTCCACATCTTAAATCATCTGTCACTTTCTGCTCTGTCATACACACTTTCAGCAAAGCTCAGCAAGTCCACAGTGGGGTAGCAAGCAGAGAGACACAAAGTACCAGATCTTAAAAGTGACTGACACTGCTGAGTTGATGAGGGAACAAATCTAATCTTTGAACATTCAAAAAGCACTTTCCTATATGCTAGGTTGTGGCTAGCTGCAAGACTCTGGACATGAATTGCAATGCTCTTGACTAGCCTCCTACATAACAGGCTAAATGGTGAGAAGAAATAAACCATGAGGTTTTTAATGATGGACTAGCAGTGTGTTGTAGTGCATTTTATTCCAATGGTACGCAAAAATAACATTCCTTTTATGAAATAACGGTGACTGGTACACTGATGTGAGCTGCTCATTTGTTACCGTAACCTGTAATGGGGCATGTTTAATACAGTGGAACCTCAGTTTTCGAATGTAATCCATTCCGGAAGTCTGTTTGAGTTCTGAAATGTTCAAAAACCGAAAACTCAATACAATAGGGAAACTCAAAATGGAAGCCACAAAGCATGTTTGACTTCCAAAAAGTGTTTGAAAACCAAAGCAGTTACTTCCGGGTTTTCGGTGTTTGAGTTCCGAAACGTTCGTCAACGGAGACGTTTGAAAACCAAGGTTCCATCTACTGTAAAGTGTTGGCATATCACAGGGACATTTTCTGCTAAGCCAGGCATCCCCAAACTCGGCCCTCCAGATCTTTTGGAACTACAATTCTCATCATCCCTGACCACTGGGCCTGTTAGCTAGGGATGATGGGAGTTGTAGTCCCAAAAAATCTGGAGGGCCGAGTTTGGGGATGCCTGTGCTAAGCACAAGGAGAGACCAAAAGTCTTGTTGCACATCAAAATTTGATTGCAGGGGGTTGGACTAGATGATCCTCGTGGTCCCTTCCAACTCTGCAGTCCTATGATTCTGTGATGCCAAGTGTCCCTTCTGTAAGAAACTAACTTGCTGTGTCTGATTTACAGAGTGGCCTGACTCCACTCCACCTGGCTGCACAAGAAGACCGAGTCAACGTGGCCGAGGTCCTCGTTAACCAAGGTGCTGTCGTGGATGCACCCACCAAGGTATGCTTTCTTTGAGATGCCAGGTCTTTATAGGAGAAGAAAATGAATGAAAACAAAGTGATTGGCCTGCAACAGATACCTCTCATCTCCTCTCCCCCCCCCAAAGAAAACAATTTTGGAGTCTCCCCACCCATAAAATTTTATTGAAGCTTTTTATTAAAGCTAACAGAAAGAAAACTGTGAAAGAAAGAAAAAACCTCTCTCAGAGTTAGATCTTTATCCTTGTCTCACACAAAAGGGGTGGAAACAGGAGCATAGTGTGGGCACATGATTTTGAGGGCACCCCTATGGAGGGATCTCCGTCCCACCCTGCATGCTGCCAGGGGTCTCTGGGCCCTGGGGCCCAGTCTTGCCTTGCCACTGCACCCACGGCCCCCTCACTGAATGACCACCAGGTGAGTGTTAGGGGGGATGCACCCACCAAGGGCCTGGGCTTCCCCTCCTCACAGTTGGGCAGGCAGCACAGTGTGGCCCCATGAGCCTTCCATGTTCCACGCCCGTCCTGCAGCATCAGTGAGGGCTGGCTTGGTGCTGCAAATTTTGTCCACCCTCCCCACACCACACCTGTGAGAGTACTCACGTACACCAGGTGCCAACAAAGGATGCAACGCCCCTCCCTGCTCTCACATGGGAGCTTCCCTTTCTTCTGCCACCCACTCACCCTAAGAGACCTTCCCTTCCCCGACTCTCACACAGGGCCCTTCATTAACCACCTGTCACCTTCATGTGCATACAATCCCTTCAGTGACCCAGAGTAGAGGACACCAAATGAAATAATAATGAAGTAAAAGAAACAGAAACAGAAATGAAGCAAGGGGGAAAAGGAGGAGAAGGAAACAGGAAGATAAAGTTCAGATGCGCCACAAGCATTATGATCAGTTCTCATGACACATCCCAGGAATAAACCTTGTGTCTCCCTTTTGTTAATTCTCACACCATCCTGCAAGGGTTTTCCTCTTCCTTTTTCTGTTGAAGAAGCAAAAAATGTGTCTTGCCAGATGCTGGGTAGCTGGCTAGACAGACTGGCCATCTGCGGGGAGCAGCATGTGTGGTCTCACAGCCCTGCTGTTTAGAGAGGGACCAGGGACCTGTCTCCTGACATTTTAGCAGACAGCAGCACCAGACCTGGCTAGGCTGACATTTTAATGAAAGAGTTGTCAGACTCTTGACTACAGCGGGGGGGGGGGGGAATGCACGCTACAGTAATAATTACCTGCCCTTGTACTCTTATCAAAGGTTAGGAAGCCAATTATTGACTCATAAAACTCAATGACATTGCTATTAGCCTGCAGTAGCAAAATTCATGGATGCGGGAAGAGAGAGAGAGAACAAAAATAACTTAGCTATGCCAGTTAACTTCATGTTTAGCCACAAGTAAGTTGTCATGGTCCATTTTGGGATGAGAAGTATCTTGGGTCAACCCTCCCCCTCTTTTGTGATGTATGTAGGATGAAGCCTGTAATTGGTTTAATAGTGGGGAAATTGGCTAAGGTAGAAATCATACATTCACTTTAATAACAGCAAGCCTGCCTTCTGAATAAGTGGGAGATAGGATTGAGCCATAAAGCCATATTTGTTGGGGATACATTTCGAGCTTTTAGGCAGCAAACTAAGGTCACAGTTGTGGGTTTGTAAAGGTTATTTTCATTCTGGAGTCATAAGTGGCATTTGGAGAGCAATATAAAATATTAAAGGCCACCTTTCCTTCTAGGAATCACCAGCAATTTTTGCTGTAGTGGTCATTTAGCCCGCATTTCCTTCAATATTTCAAAAAGGTTGAGGCATTGGTAATATGAAAATAATTTTTAAATTTATAGATTAATTGATCATACTTCATTTTAAAATCCCCTGAAGGTGGATTAAATGTTTTAGTCTGGTTTGTAGATTCTTTTTATATTGTTGCATTTTTATTTT